GACTAGCCTATTCGTCCCAAGCAAACGATTAACGTACCCCATTCTAGTCGAAATTCTAGCAATATTTGTTTTGATTCGCTATGAAAGTTTGACAAATAAAATGAGGGGTTATTGGTTTTTCCTATGTTTCGAAGGGTGCATCGATTAGCTTGGGACCGAAGAGAGTACCAGAGCTGTGCCAAAAAGTTGAGCACGTTATTTCTGGACCTTCTAGTCTAAGAGTTACCTCTATGGTTGAACTAATCTTTCCCGGGAAAACTGTTGCTTCAATCTCGGCTTGTTTTTTTTTTTTGCGGAGATTGGCACCGCCAACAAGCATGGCATTTTATTTTGCTGAATCTCAGTGAGAAACTTGCCGAGATTCAACTAACAAATGGGAATAAAGCCGTTGGTACCCGGTTCATGAGTTGATGGGGTCGATAGGTACACACAAAAAACAAAAACTGTATCGGTAACAATATTAACCTTTCAATTTAAAAGTATCAAAAAAATCGTTATTCTAACTACGAAAATGTTTGATACAACAAGGTTGTTTTTAATTCAAAAGTGATTGTTTTAATTTTAACTTGTAGTTTTAAAAGCGCAGATTTTCAAATTGAAAATTGTTTAACTGTCAAAAATACTTTTCATGTGTTGATTTCTACCCATTTTTGGGTAGTTTTAGGATAGCGTGAGCAAACAAAAAGAAAAACGCGCAAAACGGGAGCTACATAAACTTCAGTTTTTTTAACTTGTACTAGAAAGTGTGAAGATTTGGTCTGTAACGCTGTAACTGCTTGCAAATTAGAACCCATGTACTTCTGCACTGGCGGAGTGTGCCATACGGCCGAAAAAGAGATTTTTTTTCATTTCAGTTGCAGCTGCTTGACATTGTAGTTTGGGAGAGCAATTTTTTATTAAACCGTAAGTAATTTTTGAAATCAGATAATTTGCATAATTGAATTACTGATTATTGCTTATACGCAGGTATCATTAATTTAGCCGAGAGGGAATCCGGCCAACGTTGATCCTTTTCCGGGCGAATCAATCCGGTAATTTGAAATTCTATTCCGTGGAACAAATAATATTTATTGATTGCTTTTGAAATTGTAGGATGAGAAACACGCTTGGACCAGTAATTTGCGGAAAATGGCATCCTCAGGCAGTGGCGAATCGCCAGTAGGCCACGAGCATCAATCATACACTGTCTATCGGAGACATTTCGTAGCCTACAGCGGTGCAAGATGTTAGAGAAGGCCCTAGCAGCAGCAGGTTTAGCTGACGGACGCCGAGAGAAGTGCCCTCAATCAGTACTACAAGGATCTCAAGTGAAAAATGTCGATCCATACCAGCCTGCTGTCTAAAAAAACTGCCTACCCAATCCGACGAATATGCAGTGCGGAACCAAACAATGATATCAAATTGTGAATAAAAATAGAGAAATAAATGAATTTGTAATTTTTAATTAAAAGGATGTTACTATATTGAATATACTACTTTTGAAATAAAAATATTTAATTTGCATTAAAAATAACAATTATTGTCATTTAAAGTATACCGTACTTTCATGTCAAAAGTTTGTTTTGAATTAAGAGTAATACGCTTTTAATTTCAACCATGCCACGCTTTTAATTTGACAGTAGAACAATTTATTTTGAAAGTTTAAACTTTTAAAAGTCATGAGCGGGCAACTTTTAAACTGATAGTTGACGAACTTTCGATTTAAAAGCTAACCGCTTTCTACCAAAAAGAACTAACGCAAACTTTTAATTTCACCGATGCTTTTTTTAATTTTACTAACGATTTTTCTTTGTGTGTATGAAAGCCGCCTCCCTGGCGGAAACCAAATCAAGGAAAAAATGTGGCATATCCGTTTTGTCCCTGATCCGTAAACAACCTTTCTCCACTGCACGAACTTGTTGCTCCCCAAATTGGGTACTTTAACTTCGAAAAAATATACTGATTTTTATACATCATCTGATAGAGCTTTGTTTTCTGAACACAACGATATTTTTATCGATCCCGTAGATATTCATCACGATTTTTAAAGCAAGATTTAAATTTTTGATCGTTGACACTAAATCTATTCGTTGACAGTTCACTCCCACACACTAATCCAGCATTTAGTTGTTCGGTATTTTTTTGTACTGGGCTTGCACGGTAAAACGAAAGATTTACTGAAAATGCAGTTTAAACCTGATGAATAACCGACGTTATGTAAAACACAAACTGAACTTCGGTATCGTTCGATGCAAAATACTGTACACAGAAAAACAAAACTACCCACCGCTTGGGTTTTTTAAACTCAAATTTGAGTTATTTGACCTCTGCCCGTTTCATTTCCTCTCGCTATTGTTGTCAAAAATAGAACGAAAGATTCGACTCAACCGTCTAGTTCCGTACGAGAAGCCAAAATTGAGTAATATGCGATATACCCAAATTTGAGTTAATTGAACTTAATTTTGGGTAGAAAAAATTGAAAATAACTTAGCGATGGGTAATTTTTTTTGCCGTCCTTAAATGCAAACTACTTTGAGCCGGTTTACCCAAATTTGGCTTATCGTACGGAACATGGGAGATGAGTGAAAAGAACTTAATTTTGGGTTGTTTTGAATTTCTGTGTACACAGAATATATATTTACCAGCGAATCCAAACACATAAAGCAACCAACGATACAGACTAAACGGTTGCTACGACTACCATGACAAACTCGCTCTGTAACATAGCTCGATCCGAGTGGTAGAAGGATAATGATATATTGCTTGCCTGCTTTGTTGCAATATACACGGATGAGGACACAGCTTGATATGAACCGAGAAAAGACATAACAAAAAAAATCCCATAAACACACGTGTATCATCTTCGGCTTTACTTCGTGAAGTAGCCTGCCAACAATCTGCTCGTTTCCTTCTACCGCCCGGAGTGAGTTGTGTCGCACGGGCTGCTTGTCATGAAAAAGAAAGAAGAAGATTATATCATTATTGCTTTGCACTTCTGACATAGCGTTATTATTCGGTTCGTTGATCGCTTGTCATTTTGTCATTTCGAGATATTTTTGATTCCTTGATATTTACTGAGAAAGTCGGTAATTTCTAAATTTTCTAGATTTCACGAAAAGTCAGTAAAACTAATTACTGTGCACAAAGTAGGCTTTATTTGTTTACCGACTGGTCAGCGAAATAGCCTTTTTGTTTTACCGACCGAGAATTGTAAAACTATAACCTGGCAATTTTATTCCCCCCGCCATTTAGCTTCAGTAAAATCCGGAAGCAAGTGTTTTATCGCGCAGTTTTGTGAAAATTTGTGAGAAACCATGAATTATATCATGACGGAATTGTTGAATGGATTCAAGTACGTATAGTGCATGATTTGGCTATGACTTGTGACTAAATTATTTTCGATTCTATTAGATGACCCAATACCAACATTAAACCTTGAAACTCCTACACTTTACGTCCGTGGAAAATTCCCTGAAGGCAACACCGGTGAAATTATCTCCTGGAAGAACGTCACTATTCCTTTGAAAAGGAATTTCTTGGAATGTTTCATATGTTGTGCATGTCGTTGGCTGTCTTCATCTCGATCAAGCGACAAGCAATTCTTTGTAATCTTTAAGTCAGTTTTTATGGAGGTAGGAAACATAACAACTTCGGGCGATAAGTTTCTCCGTAGTTTGTATTGATTTTATGGTTGTTGTTTCCTATCAGCATCCTGAAAATATGAATAACATAAAATGCATTTAACATTTAAATACATGGTTTTCCTCTCGGGCATCTTATTATTATTAAAATAAATTAAATGATAAATCTTTTAATATAACTGGGTAACACGGTACAAGAATTAACAAAATAACTGTCTTGTCAGTTAAATTGCAACAAAATAAACAAAAAAATTACTGGGCGTTCCAGTATACGCAACTCGAACTAATTACTGAATGAACAGTTATTTTTGACAGATTGACTTTACGGACAGTTCGGTAATGCAAATTTTTGCTGTGATGATTACTGGGGGATCCGCAATTCAAAAACCCAGTAAAATTTTACTGACTCCAGCAATCTAAAGTTAGTGTGCATACAAAGTCCCACCGATGGGCGCTAAGATGGCGATTTTTGCTAGTGTAATCGTACATCGTACTTATTTAAAATAGTTCCAGTGTACCAAAATTGATGAAATTTTGGATTTCAGTCCCATTTTTAATGCAGATGACGAATATGTATTTACCCCTGGTACTACTTCAAAACGTACCCCTTGTACTCCTTCAGCGTTCGGTAATTCTTGAGTAAACCGAGGTAAACTGATGTTCGGTTATTTCAGCGTAAGTTTATTGTTCGTCGACCGAGATTTTGGGTAAAAAATAACTAACGACAGCTCGGTTATTCTTCTTTGTATCGAACAGCCTACCGAGTGTTCAGCAGATAAAAACTCGGTTGAAATCAAACCGAGTTCGGTATTATTTTCTCAATGTGAAGATTGAAAGGAAAGTATGCAAACCTTGATCCAGCACATTTTCAACCATGACGTTTTCATTGGATTTTCTCATAGCGTAAATTTATTAGACTTCCACAAAACGATAATATATATTATGTCGACCTTTGGTTGTTCCGCTGGCATGTAAAAAAAAACTGATAAAATCTCGGAAAAACCGGAATGTTGGAATCGCTGCTCGCGAGCAGAGATGCCAGGCTTATTTTGAAAAAATCTGGCAAAACCCGAAAAAAATGTCTGGCAAAAATCTGGCACAGCAAATTAACATGGGAAGCTGCCAGATTTCTCAAAAAATCTGTCTGGCAGAGCTAAAATTTTTCTGGCTGTGCCAGATAAATCTTGCAGCCTGGCAACGCTGCTCGCGAGAGAAACCGTTGAATGTCGACTGTTTTGTTTTCTTCTCATGCCGATATCCGACCACCCGAACTTTGACAACCATGACGTCATCGGCAAGTTATGCTACTTCTGAAACGTCTTCGGCTTTCTTCGCTACCTTCTTCCATTCATATTATTCACTGTTCGTACATTCGCCCGTTCGGTCGCTTCGTTCTCGTCGCTTGTTCGTCCGTACGGTAAAGTCCGCGTCGTCGGTGAAAAATCGCGTGAAAAGCGGTGAAAATCGCCGGAAAACAGTTCAAAAAGTGCATTATCCATCGATCTGGTGTTAGTGGAAGGTAATTGAGGTGTTTTTCTCCGGGGGGATATTGGATTTCGGTGTGAAAAATGCATTTTGAAGGCGGGTAGCAAAGTGCATTAATCTACTCCTGTTTCCGGAGGAGTAGGAAGAAGAAGACAGTGAAACAACTGTATGTGATGATGGGAGCGGAGGGCCAGGGTTGTAGTCTTATGAGGGTACGAAAGAGTATCATTTCGACGATGGATTTTGAGGAAAGTAATTATTAATAATGGAAGGATTGATTATTAGCACCAAGTGAATTGAAGATTGGAGCAAGATCACATTTCGGAGATATAGGGCGCGCCGTTTCCCTCCCAGATTCAACGGCTTTTTCTAGCGTTTCTTTTCTGCCTGCCTCAAAAAAGAATGTCTGCCCACTTCCAGACGCAGTGCACGATGCGGGTTACGGAACGAGGGGAAGGTGATTTGTTTTTCTTCTTTCTCGCTCTCGCTAGTCTTACTTTGATCGTAGTGCGCTGCTTGCTAGAGGAGTTTTTAGTAGTTTGGCTTACCCGACGCCTTTGCTTGGGATATATTAAATATGAGAAAACCTGGCCAGCGGTGTTGTTCATTTGATCCATACGCGTCAATGTTGTGATACGGGGTGCTTCCTGCAACGATTGGTAGTTTAAAAATAGATTCACGTTTTTTTTTTCACTGAGAAGCTAATTTGCGCTATCCCAAGAGGTCACAAATTCTCTAATAACAATATTGGGGTGTCTTCAAGTACTTATGCTTTTACGATTTGATTTGGTTGTGCAATTTCCATTAGCAATTCATCGTTGATTCAAGTGGAATTTTGTTTAATAAAGTAGATCAGCATAAGTCTAACGCAACGATGCGTATTACATTAATATTTGAAACAGAATTGCTCACGCGTCCCACTTATCGTTTCAGTATGGTGCGAGCGGTCTTAATCTTAATCAGCATTCACATGGCCAATTTTACAATCGGTTCCAGTTAGCCCACCTTTCGTTCGAATTTTATTGGCTATACCTAGTGCCGTTTATCGCAAGTCGGTCCCATTTGCATTTTTGTCGAAACTGAGTTTTTTTTTTGGAAATGGTAGCTAATAACCTTGATTTCCTACTACTGTTTGAAATGTTTGGAAAACAGCTAAATGGGTTGTCCCATTACATAAGAAGCAATGGTACGAAGCAAACTTTAAACGCGTTTTTCTCGGATTGCTGATTTGTGCTGTGGGACGAACTTGCCATGAGCAGCGGTAAAACTTATGTTCATTCAGCAACGAAAAAAATGTTATCCGTTGGTGACATATTGCGACCGTTGACGACGACGACTATGATGATGACGTAGTCGTGCTATTAATACGAAAACAAACGCGCTCATCGTCTGGTTTGGCATTGCAAACTTTGTTGTTCGAAATGCGATGAAGGAGATCGGTTGGGGCGTATGTGAATTTGCATAGGGGGATGTGAGGCGAAATGTTACGTTGAGACACCTGTGCTCATGGCGAACATGGGTTCGTATCACTCCATTCTCCCCTGGTAAATGAGCGCGCGTTTTTGCAATATAATCTATGCGGGTGCCCTCGTCACCACTTCGCACGGTTTAACTTTGTGGGAGGCAGTTCTATATAAATGCGCTCGACTCCAGCATGCCTGCCTGCAGTACGACCTGGGTGATTCGATTAGAGATCAAGTATCCAAGCGATCCGAGCACGTGATCCATCATGGTCGTTGAACTGCATTTACAATGTTATCATTTTGGTTCTTCAATTGAATCAAAACTGAGCGCTTGCGATGGAGGATATGCCGTTGGTTCGTTATTTGAGTACCTTGCGGTTTGGGATGGAAGATTTGCTTACGCACTCTTCACCACACGAGTGTAAACAAGCGTTCTCGAGAATACACACCTGTGTGCGCTGTCGCGGTTGGTGTACAAAAGTTGTGTTAGATTTGTGTCACGCGTAGACACACAGCATCATCCTCATAAATCACACTTTTATTTTTACCTGGATGGTGATGCTCACTTTTTCCTAACCAGCAGTAAGATAGGATCTTCTTTTATACCTACCTCACTTGCTTTGTTTGGATTTGTGACCTGGGCGAGAGAGAGATGAGTGAGCATACATTTGTTTGTATGCTTAATCAGATCTACCAAAGAGACGGAACGTGATGAATGAAATCTAATTTTATTTTGGCATTTCGGTTAGTAGGTTTTCATGCACTGCCGCTATTCGCATAACATAGGAATTCCATAGGACATGGGACTGTTATGCGAATAGCGGCAGTGCAAATACCTAGTTAAACGTGAATCATGAAAATAGCTGAGCATTTCCACGCCAAACGACGAATCGATCAGACTAGAAACTGTCCGATTTCCATGAAACAAATTGTTCTCTTTTGGGAATCATTCAAATTTGACCCGGGATTTGTATAAACCATAGTAAGTTCGAAAACGTCTCTTCTAATCGAAATGACTTCTAAAACAAAGTTGTATAAAAATAGATGGCCTTTCCAGAAGAAAAAAAAAAACAAATATACAGTGTATTAAGAAAATGTCTGTACAGTTAGCTATATTTTAGAGAGAAAAAAAAACAGCTCTGCGAACACACTTCAAATTCTTTAAATAGATTTCAGAAATCTTGGCTTGTTGTTCTGATCGTGTAAAGGGTAAAATAACGTACACCGCACTTCTCCGGAAAGTGAGAGGCAAGAGAGCGCATCCAGAAAGGAGATATGCTGAAGAAAGACGCTTCGATCAAGAGCTTGGTCTACAACGAAAACGTACAGAAATCTTAAGTCGAGGTGACGGAATTAAGGGCTCTATTTCAATGGTCGAGTTCAGAGACTTCGATGAGATCACGACGGAAGACGATTTGAGAGACGCGCTGAAGGTTCAGTTTGTGTTGGGTGAAGAACCGATCGACACCACAGCCAACAAGCTGTTGAAGTCTGGCAAAATCAAGTTTGGATGGCCTAAGATTTACTCGGCAATTAGTGAGATGCATTGGGCTTCGGTCATGAGGCGAGAAACTGCAAATGCCAAGACAGATCTGATCTTCTTCTTCTTCGCATTTCAAACTTATTGCTTATCGTGTGCTCTCAACTAGATGCACTTTCACAGTTATTAATTGAGAGTTCGATGCCATTAGTATAATTGTGTGGCAAGTACAATCATACTCTATACCCAGGGAAGTCGATAGATTTTCTAACCCGACAAGTTCCTAGACCAGCATGGTCTTCCTTTGTAGTTGCGTCTTGACCGAATTAGCTAAGGCGACCAAATCATGGGAGCCAACCCAAAATTAAAACCTCTATCTTTGTGGCAGAAAAAATCGACAATTATGGCAATCTAGAACATAAAGTGCGTAATTGGAATCGTTACAAAACCGTATCGAGTTTACTCCTGATAATGGTAACTGGGTGGCTGGCATATTCGGTATGGCTGCAATCAGGCTTCCAAATAGTACAACCTTCTCGCGACATATGGTTTATACCTTAATTGACTGTTGCTTTGTGTGCTTTACTACCAGGGGGTGGGAAGGTGGCTATCAAATACGAACAAACGTCGCCTACCTCGCATAACTGGTTCCAAACGTAAACAAGCCATAAGAAACCTACAGCGTTTGTTTACGTTTGGAACCAGTTTCATACAAGAATGATCAGTAGGCTGATTTGACAGCATGTCTGCAATACAGACTATGAGAAGATACTCCACTCAAGAAGTGGTGGCACATATAAGGGAATCTTCGTATGCAGCTTGCTATTAAATTAACAACTTCCAAGGCGTTCAGTTAAATGCAGGATACACTAACCGAAGAACTATTGAACTATTTTTCATTCCGTCACATGTGTGTAATATATTAACATATAAATAACATAATTATTACACATAAACAGCTGCACATAGGTCATTCAACAAATAGTTGTGTAATATTATGCGATATGACAGCTAATTGCTATGCGATATTAAATCTCGCAACACTGCCAGGTTTTCGCTCTGATGCGCATCGAGCTGACGTTTGAGGCGACGAACCGCCATTGTTATTCCAGTACTCGGTCCAGTGCCAGCATCGTAAGCTAATACCATTGACAGACATACAAAGCAGTACCGTTGTACTCCTTTAATCGAGTACCTCAAAAGGTACAATTTGAGGTACTAGCTTAAAGAAATACAACGGTAGTACAACAGTGTACTTTGTATGTCTGTACAAGGTATAACAGTTGCTCTACAATCAGAATCACTCAGCTGGTTTCTCAACTGCCCGGAGACACTAGGTGTTCCACCAAAAACTACTTTCACAGCGTAGTTCTATTTGAAGGTTCGCATACGGTCCAACCAACCCGAGCATTCCTTCTGGGAATTGCGTGGCAAGAAAAGTCTCCAAACGAAAATGTGATACACCTGCGCCGAGTTCTGAGTGTTCAGTTCTGTGACTTCATCCTTATCAACCATTCTCATATATGAGAACAACCGTGGCCCAGTGAGATCGAACAAAGACAACGGCAGCAGTACACTCCAACAGTGGAGGATCGAATCCCAAATTGGACCCATTAAAAAAGCATGTATAAGCGCCGCGCTCTGGCAGCTTTTTGTTTATATATTTTCGATTCATTTTTAGAATAGCTAAAGTAGAAACCATAATAAACAAATACCATAAACGAACTGTACCCCGGATGGGTAAACTATCCCACAAATGGTTTGGATGATACCCCGAACACGTCGTTAAGCTCTCTTTTATGGTTATTTTTATTAGGGAATCAATAAAGTAAAATATCGTAGAAGATTGAAGTGTGATGTGTCAATGGGCTGGTGAACGAATATCACGAATTGGCGCATCATCTACAACCGATCAGATAGATGTAAATCAGGTCCGATCAAAATTCCACAATACGTCCGACGGCGGTTGCTTCTTCCCAAGTATTTTTCGACATTCCATTCCTCCTTGGTTACAGCTAGACCGATGTTATCCTTGCGATTGCAAACCAGAACACTTGGTCAAATTTTTGGATTTAGTTTCCGGTAAGACATAAGTCTGGCCCTGTGGAAGATCCGAAACATTCGTAAAAGCAGTCAATTCATTTAACTGATCCTAGAGCTCCGCGGGATTTTTTAAATCACTCATACATTAATATGAATAAGAACTCAATCAGACGATACTTTCAAATGGTTTATTGATTAAATTTTGATGTGATGAATAAAAACTAAGAACATTAAAACTAGTCGCTCGTTAACTTGATACTCCAAAGAAAGATCTCCAAGAAGTCCAAGAAATCCAAGGAAATATTAAAAAATACCGTTAAAAGCGCCTAAAAGTTACTAAATTTCTTAAATATCACATAGAAATCATCCATAATAATATATAGAAAAATCCTGTCTATGAGCAGTTCTAAGAAATCCACAGAGTTCTGAGATCAGTTTTCTTGACTAACCTATGAGATTTTTTGAAAAAAAAAAAAAAAGCTCTAGGATCAGTTTCATGAACTGACCACTTTTACGGTGTTCCGGATGTTTCAGTCGACCACCTCGTGGTTTCCAGAGACAAAATTCAGGTCATAGCTTCACATTAATTATGATAAGACTTCTATGAGAGGTTTCGCAGATGTTTAGGATGAGTTTCATGAATTTACCACGTTCACGGATATTTCAGATTTTGCGGTGAACCATCGCATGGTCTCAAGGGTCTATATTCCGGTCACAACTTCGAATTCATTCTGATAAGACGTCTATGAGTGGTTTTGAAGAAATTCGCGGACCTTTAGGATCAGTTTCATGCATTGAACAGTTTTAAAAATGTTGCGGATGTTTTAGTGGATCATCCCGTAGTCCTCAGTGTCCATATTCCGATCACAACTCTGAATTTATTCTGATAAGGTATTTATGAGTGATCACAAAAAAAACGTGGAGCACGAGGATCAGTTTAATTAATTGACCACTTTTACGGCTGTTCCGAAAATTCTAGAGGACCATCCCGTAGTCCACAGGGTCCGTATTCCGATCACAACCTTGGATTCATTCTGATAAGACTTTTAAGAGTCATTTAAAAAAAAACGAGGTGATCTAGGATCATTTTCATGAATTGATCACTTTTACGGATGTTCCGATCTGCATTGAATTGTCTCACATTGTAATATTCCGCCCACTATATCACAATCAATTGCGAGTAGCTGAGCGTAATGGGGACAAGGAAAGCATTTGGTACAGGACCTGTTGCAAGCGAGAAAGACGGTGGTTCAGCAAGAATAATATTGAGACATACGGGAATGCGACAAACGTGTCAAATTAACTGCATTGGTAACGACAACACAGAGGAGCGTACACCTGATGTCACACACTAAGGTGATGGTAATAAGGTCGGTGATAATATGACATTTACACAAAAGCAGAGATCAAATCAGATTGGTCAACGTACGCATAGGCCACGACTAAATTTCCGTAGGTTCATGCCTGGCTTAAGTGCAGATCGGTAGGCAACAGCCTGCCAGGGTGTGAACTGAGCAATAACAATAACAATAAAAAAAATGGAAAATTAGAAAAGTGCCTTAGTGGTTATGATCTTCCGGATTTCTTATTATTATTATTTAACTTTATTAATGAGGCTTTCAGCCTTGGGCTGGTTCGCCTCCACTTCCGGATTTCTTGTGTGTGAATAGTTAAGGTACAAATCAGTTCAGATCTGTGGAAAATCGTACAATAAGACAATTATCGATAGCATCCGGAGACGAACCAGCCCAGGGCTGAAAGTCTCCTTAATAAAGATAAAAAAAAAATTACCGATAGAAATTGGCAAGATGTTGAATGAAAAATGCTTTAATTTGCGTTGTTAAAAATAGTTATTCTGATGTAAACAAACGGTTTGGTTCACGTTTCTTCTCGAACTCGCGTGGCGCACTCTACGTTAATGGTGCATTAAAAAGGCGTATAGGCTTTTTTAATGCACCACGAATTAGAGGGCGCCAGGCGAGTTCGAGAGGAAACGTCATCCAAACCGTTTGTTTACATCAAAATGAGGATTTGTTGTCAAGTTCCATCGATAATTGTTTTACTTTACGATTTTACACAGATCTGATCTGATTTGTACTTCAACTATTCACACACTAGAAATCCGGAATATCATAACCACTAAGGCACTATTCTAATTTTTCTCTACAAAAATATTCCTGAACACCAGCAGGGTCCTTGCAAAAACGATACAGAATTCAATTTTTCGATTGTAGATCAATTTTTGAAGCATCTCGGATGAATCAATTTATGAGGGAAAGTTAAAAAGTGATCCACTTCCTATGTCTCACGGCAAAAAATTCGGCTCACAACACTCTTTTCGACGTTCTCATTCATCACCAGAGGTTGAATCGATCGCTAAGTTTCTATTAAAAGGCGTATTGATAGTGGATAGCGTTGTTATCTCAAAATTGACGAAATCCATATGGGACTGATATGCGATTATAGGCAGTATACTACCTATTAGAGTTGTATGTGGATTGAAATTAGAACATTCAAACCAATCCACATTTGATAAACGTAAAATTTACGTGAAAAACTAGATGGAAAAAATCTATGTATGTTTTCATGTAACATCTACGTAAAAAAATTTATGAGTGTAGGCTAGGAAATCTCCGTAAGAATACGCTGGATGAGTAAATTTCGTAGACGCAAATATGAGTAGATTTCATATGGAAACAAAATACTCTGAGTGAATTGAATTCAGTCGCTGAGTCGTTCTGGTTGGCCGTGTGCGCCGTTCTTCACGCAGGGAAAATCACATTTCAGTTTATCTTAATCAATTGTTATGATATAATATACGATGTGATAAGGTCATATCGGCTTCCACGCACCGACGCATATAGCACTTTATTCTCCACTCATTCACGTATTTACGTACAAGAACAATTCAAATAAACACCGAAAAAGCCCTGAAGAGTCTCGGTGCTAACGAATAAACAAATCTCGCTCAAATGACTTTACCCTTTGTGAAATGATATGGAAGGAACCACATCAGGGCCGATTTTGTTGGTATGGTTTCCCACTAACTCGCTTCTTATGTTTATTTACCTCATTCATGTTGTTATAACATAGGTTTCATCATGTCTCTCGCTCTTTTCAGATTTCCGACCCGCTATCACAGATGCATTAGTTAGATCGTTGCCACCAGTCGTCGCGTCGTCGGTCGTCAGTTTAGTCTTGGCAATTTTTGGGCAGTCAGCATCAGCATGGAGCCAGAGTCAGCATCGCAGAAAGAAGGGATAGAGACCCGCAACCGGTCCCGATCGAGAACGCCTAGCTTGCAGCTGCGTGTCAGTGTCGAGCGTGATGTCAACGGTGACTCGAAACCGGACAAGGTCCAGAAGAGCCCACGCGTTGCGTAAGTTTTGTTTGAATTTCTGAATTACCCACGAATGGTATTGATATCGGTCCTCTTATTTCACAGCACAATCGAGGAGGAGTTGAATTCGTCGCAAAAATCCACCTCCGGCCCAGCTGGATCCGTTTTTGTTCGTAAAACCCGTACCGTTACTTCGGATTACTCGTCCGATGGGGTCTCGCCGGAGCGGCCCGCCACCAAGGAAGCTTTCTCCGGTGAAACGGAAAAATCCATCACCCTCTCAAAGACCACCATCACTGTTACCACTTCCTCCTCGTCCACTGCATCTGCATCGTCGCTCACAAAAGTAGTTGCTGCCTCGAATGCTTCCGCGTCCAAGAAGGAGATCCGCCAGAATGAACTCAACCGAACCCTGGAAGACAGCCAGAAAGCGATTCTTCGGACCAGTACCCCGAAAGCCACGTCCAAAGTGGCGAAAAAGGTCACACTCACTCCGGAGGAACTGAAGCAGCACGTTGCCTACAAAGAGTACACAGAAGCCGGAGAGTACTGGAACAAGTACCCGAAGACAGATTACACATACTCGGAACTATCGCCGTTCCGAAGAGAGCTTGCTCCTGGGATGATCGCGATGCCAAATATGTCCCGTCCGGGTTTGACTCAGCATGCTGAACGGATTAGCGTGATGATCGAGAGGAATCCCGCCCAGGAATCGTACATCCGCAAGCGATATGCCAATACCTCGACGTATTCCACGTCCGGAGTAGCGGGAGGAAGCTTCGCCCGAGCTGATCCCTATGATTCTGGAGAGGAAACGCTGGATTTGTCACAGCTTTCCCGGAGTTCCAAAAGTTATAGGGCTAAAAGATCCACTGCACACGTCCAGGTTGAGGAACACCGATCGATAATCAGTCGATTTTTCCTAACCATTGTGAACTGGTTCTACAGTGCGACCCATTCGGTTTCGAGAGTCTTCAACCAATCGGACCACAACCTGTATTACACCCGAATCGAGGATGAGCGAGGTGAGTAGCACTGTGTTGAACTATGGACCGGATTGATTGATCACAAATTCATCTCTTCCGTAGGCTTCTTTTCCAAAATTTACCATTTTTTTAACATGCTCGTCACGAGTGTCTTCAAGAAGGTTTACCTTCTGATCTCATCAGTCCTATTCCTGGACACCTGGCTGCTCCAGACGGCTTCCAGTGACGTGCAGCAGGGCCGTCGTAAGAGGAAGTTCCTGCTCTTGCTGCTCATGTTGCTGCCCTTCCTGCTCTTCGGAGGTAAGTAAATCATTTCGTGCGTTGCTTTCCACCAGATACTGAATCGTATTTTAAACCCTCGCAACAGGAATCTACCTTTACCTAGATCCCACCCCACTCCAATCCTTCCGCGAAAATCTTGCCAATCCTTTGCTTAACTACGACCTCAAGCTCGATCTTCCGGATACGGAAGCGGCCAAGGCATTTGCCTTGGAAAAGTGGGATTCCGCCCGCCACTTTTCGGAATATTATTTCGATAACTTGAAACTCGCTTCGCAAAACACGATCGAAGAAATTCGCAAAATTTGGCAGGAGAACGTCAACCATCTGTTCAACTAACAACGGTGGTGATGGTTCCAACTTATTTGAGATTTTATGTATGTTTTCGAGTTCTGTTTTAACCGGTTAAATTATCCTAAGTGCCATTGCTATATGGTTCTGCGAAATCCTACCCATCGATCGCCTTACCCACTGCCCCATCCAGCGCACCCCGTGACAGAGACACTTATCCCAATTCCAAAACTTCCCCCCCCAACCACCGTGAACATCACTAATAAATGGGATCCGAGGAACAACGCGAAGGGAGAATGCTACATTTTGTCTCGATGGACATTCATTGGAATACTTTAATCGATAGGATAATCATAAATTGCCATTTACTATAAATGAATCGGAGAAGGATAGAGAGGACAACGTCAAGAGAAAGTCGTTTCGCAGAAGAATGTAATGATTATAATTATTCGAAATCGATTCGATTTGCATTGTTTTCGGCAAGTAGAAAAGTATTGTTTAGAGTTTTCAGAATAATACTTGGATTGAACAATGTTTAAAAGAATATTTGTAGGCATGCTGTGTATTGTAGATTAAAAATAAATAGAAAATGTTCTAAACAAAAAAAAATAACATCTTACGGTCTTGTGTTTCACTAAGTAAGAGAAAAGTTCTCGAAGTACTGAAAACGACGACGAAAAAGCAGGTAAGGAAAAACAATAGACAGTAAGCTTTCTTGTGTTGTTCTCTATCCTTCTCTTGACGTGTTTGTGTTGGCAAATTTCAAGCATCTTTTATGATTGTTCTAAATTCGATTCTTGTGATAACTTAGTTTAAGAGAAGGATAGTGACAGCTACTAATCATAATATTGGAAGAAGGCGTGCTATCATCGTAGTAATTTATTTCATCCTCATCCATACAAATATTAGTAAAATCGTATGAACCGTTGAAATGTCCATGCGGTTTATGGATAGCTAGTCACAAACATAAACGGTCACAAACATCAGAGATCAAAATTCTCGCTCAACTGCAAGATAAGCAACCATTTTAAAAGCGGGAGAACTTTGATGGAGCATCACATAGTCCATTTTACGAAATTACAGGCACCAGTTTACCTGTCATAATTTGATGATATTGATGTTGGTTCTCACATTAATTAATAAATTGAAAAATCAACTGATCATAATAGACGACTCGATGGGTTTGTGTTCATGCACTTATGGAAATTTGACAGGAGAGCGGGGCAATGTTCATTAATAATGAACATTTAGTGTTCATTTTTAGTAAACATTGCCCCGCTCTCCTGTCAAATTTTCTTCAGTGCATGAACTCAAATTCATCGGTGCACTCGTCCATGCTCTATTGACCAATGCACGGAATGAACTCACGAAAAAAATGACGATTGAGCGGTGCTAGAAATACTCAAAGGGAGAGATGGGCGGAGAGAATGTTTTGAGCTAAATGATCTGTCAAAATCTGAGTCAATCGAACATTCTCATTAGATTTTTTTCCCGAGGATTTCTTATTCTTACTAGATTAAATTTGAGAGTATATTCAATCGAACAGAAATTCAATCACCTTCGTGTGCTTTTCAAATTCAACTAGTTTTGGAATCAACTAGAATACACCAAGGGGTAATCAACTCTCCACACTATGCCGAAACACTGTTCGGCACGATAGGGCATACTTTGACAAGTAGGACACACACAATATAATATAAAACGGCATCACTGTTGAGTGTTTACGTTTAGCTAATCGTTGCATAGGGGAGAATGGTATACAACGCACCCCCTGGGCAGAACGCACCAACTGACTTTCATTTGTGTTTTTTATGGCTTTTACGTAACTTTTTTGTTGTCTTATCAAGCAGCACTTCTAGCATAGCATCCGAACTCAAAATCCTGCATGATAAATCCTTGAATTGGATTAAAAATTCCAAGAAAAACTCAAAATAAAATGAAAAAGTGCGTCTTACCCCGGGGGTGCGTTATGTACTGTCCTCCCCTACTCGGTTGAATACTTTGTTAACCGGTTTCGAGGATCGTTCGAAAAAACTACAAGGGACAAATCCTGATGAATGTGGGCGTCTTAGTGGAATACCTGTATGATGAGAGAGAGAAGGATTAGTATTTTCCATTTAATTCCACTACTTTATTTGCTTATCCTTGACAGATACGCGTATTTCGTCTACAATGTGCAGACTTCTTCAGTGTACAGACTTCTTTAGTACAAGACACTGAAGAAGTCTGCACATTGTAGACGAAATACGCGTATCTGTCAAGGATAAGCAAATAAAGTAGTGGAATTAAATGGAAAATACTAATCCTTCTCTCTCTCATTATACAAGGGACAGCCCAATGGGGTTGTACGCAATGGTGACCTAGAAATACGTGGTTTTATATAATAAATCTTATTTGTTAACTGCAGCAGGAGCTTGTGTTTTGTGTAGGAATAGGCATTTGAGCGGGGTTCTCTCTGTTTATACTTTTTAGTATGACGCGTTTGGCATAGTTGGCCCACAGCAACTCACGAAGAGCTACTGATTCTGATCAATAGTGTTGCGGCTTCTTCTTCTTTCTTTGGATGCTCATGTGGGCTGCAACTCGTTGCTTCCAAACAGCCCTTTGTTGTATACTGGAGAACACCACCACTCTCCACGCTGTGATTGATGAGACCGGATGAATTCAACTTTGAAATCTGTGTTAGAAAAATCGCTTTTCACAGGCAATCGGTGTTCAAAGCAACAGTTGCACATTCGAGCAATTTTCAATAGTGACATTTTGAAAAATGATAACGTCTTAAATTAGATGCGTTGAAATTTTTTTTTTTTTTTTTACTTTGGTTTGTTTTTTCCGTCGATCTTGTTTTCCGTGCTGAGCACCAATGCTACCGACGTGCCAGGAAGGCAGCTCCCACACCTGGACCCTACCTATCGACCCATCAACTCATGAACCGGGACCAACGGCTTTACTTCCCTTCCGAAGGAAGACGTGATCAGAGATGTTATGCCTCAGAACATCCCGGCGGCGCCGACTGGGATTGAACCCAGGCCTGCAGGGGTGAGAGGTAATCACGCTTACCACTACACTACCGGCGCCGTTAGATGCGTAGAAATATACCTGATCGATTGGTGATAAAACTATTGAAATTGGTCCAGGGGCGGTTGAGTTATTAGCGTTCAAAACCTTTCATAATTTCATTACATATTCCATTTTCGGTTTTCACAAAGTGTACCCCCATATAGAAATCACAGACGTAGTCCTACGTCAAAAATCTATTCTCTGAACCGTTGTCAATATGGCAGTCGTCCAGACGGCTGAAACGGGTTACCTCCAGCGACAATTGGTCAAAAGTCTGAAAGATCTGGTCATCCAATACGACGGTACAGTTCGGAATGCGATCGGCGAAGTCGTTGAGTCTTCCTATGGTGTAGACTGGTTTGATTCCATAATCATGAAAATCAAAAACAATGCACGGTCGCAGTACATATCAACGCAAATCAAAATTAAGCCGGCTGCGGAGGAAATTTTGAAGAAGTCTGGCTGGGTAATGCTATGAAAATTAGAAGCTGCCCAAACTGAGACTTACCGACCGACACGTTTTCGATTGAGGATGGAATCATAGAGAAAAATGCCCGCCAGTTGCCTTTGATGATTAACAAACAATCTCATCAATATCAAACAAATGGATCCCCTATATGCCAGGGATTAGCCTCGACAAACCCTCACATTCTCCTCCACATGCTTTCACCAAAGGTCGCCCAGGCTTTATTCCAGAAAACCCTTCTTGTTTTTGGACTATAGGGTAAATTATGGCTTCGGCACCCATTGACTGTTTTCGGCAACCGAAATTGAAACGTTAATTTCACTGTATTTTCCCATTAAAACTCTTCACTGAATGTATTAAGCCGATTCCTTACCTTTTCAGCTTCAATCTGATCACATTTTTACGACTGTGTAATCCTGTTATGCCATATTTTTCTTTAAATTAAATATACACACTACAAAATACGGCTGATTTCGAGTTGCCGATAATAGAACAGCTGGTTAACACGAAGTATTAAAGGGTGCCGAAGAAAAAGAGACTACCGACAATAGTCACACTCACCTGAGAAGTTTGGAGCGTTGTAAAAACATGTTCAACCCGTTTTGATCAATTCTGTCGATTGGAATTGGTAGAACAGCAAGCAGCAGATAAATGTCAACAAACAAACCTGTCATGTATGTGTGTGACGCTGAGAAATCGCTAATAGAAGTTCGGACGCTGCTTAGACTGACGAGAATACGTAAATTCCCCTATATTATATACTATCGTGGGCGTACAACGAAGGATCAGAGCAGGATTTTCTGCGAGAGTTGAGGTACATTTACATGTTTGTTATGCAGAATAATCAATAAATAAAAAAAGGCTTATCAAAGAAGGGTGGCCTGATTCGAATACCGGTCTTGCCGAGGATCATCCGCAATGGAAATTTTCACATTTTCACCTGCGTTTTCTCTCAGTTATTCTTGCCAGTCTCAATTGGTATGGACTTCAACGGGATAATCACAGGACTTTATAGGGATGTCCATATAATTTTGAAAGAAGTTCCAGTACTGCTGTGGGATGTCAATACGTATTAACCCCACATATTCATTTATTTTATTTATTTATTTATTTATTTGTCGTCAATCAGTGTAGACCGTTTTAGATATGGACTGGTGTACGATTGTTACATTATATTCTATTGCACGAGTCCGATATCAAGAAC